CTATTGGCATTTATTGACGTCAAAGTAGAAGAAAATTATAAAGATTTTACACTTCAGTGATGGAAAACACCGATAACACATCAAATTAATCACAGTGACGACGGTATGCTCTTGCCATGTTCAGTTCTGATTTATTCTACGAAATGTGGGTACGTCGAATGTAAAGTTCAGCACACAACAGCCAACAATCGCTCCAAACAGGACAGCCATTAGTGAATATAGTCATGAGCATATATAAACATATATATATATATATATATATTTCATATCGGTTATACAATTAACAACAACAAACTAATTGCTGGCGCCTTCATTTAAGCATGAAAAGTGCCGTTGCCAAGAGACGCTATTGTTTTACAAGTGTTATTTGTTAAAAATATTCATACGTCACTAGACCTGTCTAGCGTACGAGTAGGTAACGCCGGGAAAACATTTCAAGTATACGTACGTTTGATATTAAAAGCCTGCAGTTACATGATATTGATGTAGAAGTCATCGTGTCAACGATGTCACAGACACGGGAGTCATCGCCGCACTCATTGGGCCCTAGCCAATTACGCCATTGATTCTCTGAATCCAGGGTTCGGCTTAGTAGTGTGTTTTCTTCGGAAACACATCTAATTCATAGTCTTTTTTAATATTTATAAAACGGGATAGTTCGTTGACATCAAATGGAGGTAAAGTCGATTCTCGTTACAAGAGTTCCCTTTGCCAAAAGGGTAAAGATGTTTTATTTTTTCTTAATAATGATAGTTTACAGTTTGTGCTATTAATTTTTAATCACCTAGAAGTTGATGATCTTTAATAATGATGTGGGATGTTGATGGGAATAGAGACTAAACATTGTCAATCATAATATGTGTCCCTTATTAAAAGTCCCTAAAATATAACAACTTATTAACCAATTTTAAAAAGGGGTGTTCTATAAATAAATAGTAAATTTTTTATGTGTATTTTTCCCGATACCATTGCCAACCGCCTAAACCCATATTCTTTTCTGTTAAATGGAGGTTACTTTCCGGATGAATCCATTCTATTGTTTGTTTTAATTGTAACCTATTATTCTATGAAATAAACCTTACCTTACCTGGCCTCCCCACTCCTCTTTCTCGCATTCCAGAACACTTTTATACGAACTTTCCGGACAGACCTCGTATATTTGCCAAAGACAATGGGCCATCGGCGCACATGCGTCACACCGGCGCGATGCCGCTATTACCTCACGTTCTTATAACAATGATGAGGTGGATATCCTCTTTGATTTATATCATGGTTCCCTGAAGGTACGATAATAGGAATTAAGAGTATTTTTACCTTTCTTTCTATGAAAACAACTATTACATATCTATTTGTCCAATTTAGAAATTTAATATTAAGATAGACCAAATAAACAATAAATAACAAATTTATTTTTTATTTCAAATATTAAGTGCGCTTCATCATATTCTTACTTTATTAAGTGAAAACTAGGTCTATAAGATAGCTGTTTGTTTATTTAACACACTATCATTTCGATAAAAAAAAATGCTAGGATGGTTTACTAATTGTGCTAAATATAGAGAAACAGGTCATTAATGTGACATATTTGTTTTTCTCTGTTTTAAACTTACGCCTTCTCCCTTCGGATGGTATGACACGAAACGCAAATTTTATCGTTGGCTCTCATAAATTTATGTTTCCAGGATGATCTAACCTGGGTTGGCAGATGAGCAGGCGGGAGGGCCATTTTTCATAGATTTTTAAAAATAATATACCATCTATGTTACTCATTGATAATGTAGTTTTCTATATGTGAAAGAATTTTTAAAATGAGTTTATCCATTACAAAAAATCAAATCTTGTCTCTGTATAATATTAATATAGATTGTTTCAGACTACATGTCTCTTCTGTCACTGAATTCAATTAGCCCAAACTCTTTATTGTGTATAAAGAATAAAATAAATGTACATTATGTCAGAAGGTGCATTGCGAAAGGCGATCTTATCGCTGTAAGCAATCTCTTAGATTCAACCTAAATAGTGGGTATTTACATACAAAGGTATACGACACAAACAAAAAACAGGCTTGACACACTGATATTAATAAAATATAGACAAATACACAGTGGTGTATAGCTACGAAATTTTCTATTTTTCCCTATGGTTGATGGCTAATTATGTGCATTTGTATCCGTATCAATTTATAGAAAGAAAAATAACGTAATTTCACCACCTCTTATCTAATATCACTCAACTACATGATTGTTCGTCTGCACTAATTGCGTAATTTTAAAACTTACATATGTTATTACGAGTAATTGTATTATGCCAAATTATACAGAAATAACATTTGGATTTTATACGAATTTTACGTACAGTTTTTAACGATTATTAGCTTTGATTTCGACACATTAAAGCTTTCACTTAAAATTGCCTAGCCGACTAAATTGATGTTTCTCTATCGATTTAGCTCGTTAGCTATCAACTAAGCTAGTTTATCATGTTGGCTGATAGGGGTCCGTGGAAGAGAAAGATATACTGTGTGACGACATGGGATAAATGGGATAAAGGTCAACTTCATGATTAACGATATTTTTTTCTTTTTAATATCATATTATTATTTTTCTATTACATTAGATTTTACTTTAATTAACTTATATATATGTATATACGGTTGACTGGTAGAGACACTAAGTGTCGTCGTTAGGTCCGTCCTGTAAACATATTTTTGTGTGCAAAAGTATAAAGAAATAAATACATATATAAATACAATAGCAATAATATATTTAAACTTGAATATGTATATACTGAGCCAAAAGATAACGCTCTATTTTTAGTGCGTTAATGTAAACAACGTTAAATACGAGTTTATTGAAAGAAATATATATACGCAGATAACAGTACTAAACGTTATACATAGTTACTAATAGATTACTAGTTTTTTTTACAATTTATAATACATAATTTTGTACATATTTTATTGTAAAAATAGCTTACAACTATTCTTATAAATTGACTTATTTTTCTAAGACATAACATAACCTGTTATGAATAAAAGTTCATAATTTTAGCTTAATTTAACTTCTTCATTGATTTCTTTATAAGCCTGCATACATAAAAACGAAATTAACGTTTTAAAAGTTCTTGTAAACAAGTCTATTTGAACAAAGATGATTTGAATTTGATCTTTAAAAATAATATCGTTAACATTCCGTTAACGCATTATAACCATAATATTTTTATCCATTGTGGGAAAACTATGACATTACGGTAAAAGAAATCTGCACCTGAGTTATTGCAGGCTAAATAACTTGTTTTATAAATATCTAGTTTTTGTATGATTTAACAAAGCAATAAAACGGAACGCTATACTTCTTTTTTTCTAAAGAAATATGTTTTTCTCTCAGTGCAATAAATAATTTTCCGTAGTATTGTTATCACAAGCAGTAAACATAAGTTGCAATACACACACTTATCTGTTAATCCAATACAATTACAATAACGCTTAAGAAATGTACTCGTACACTAAGTTTGTGGTTGACGATATTGCATCTTAGATAATTAGGTTCGCTTAAATACAATTGATATAATCATCGTCATCATCATCATATCGGTCATTAACTGCCCACTGTTGAACATAGGCGTCCCCCATAAGGGAGGTTTTGCCAGTGGTCGCCACGCTTGGCAGGTGGGGTGACAACCGCAATTAGGCTTTGGTGGTGTTTTAAGAAAGACACTGCTACTCATCCCTGGACCATTAGGTTCCCTTACCGTTAGGAAAGGAAGAGGTGGCCTATTCTATGCCGGAACCACATAGCTTATTGATATATTATTTATAAGTAAAAAAAGTACAACACTATTGCCTTTAACTGTTAAGCAATTGAATATGTGATGAGGTAACGGGCAACCCTGTAAAAATCGATACTGTCAAAGGAAATAAACTCCATTGAGAATTGAATTGGAAAGAGAACACGACAGTGTAAGATATGATAATATAACGACAAGATGACAAACTTTCGGCACTTCGGGAACGTATATTTTAAGAGCCTAATAAAAAACCACGTCTTGAGGGCTCCGTAACGTTGCAAGTTAAAATATATATTATGATGTATTTAATGTGACTTCTATGCCTTTTTATGAAGTTTCGTGAAGATTAAAAAGTTATAAAAGTACAATCTGTGAAATATAGACAGTGAAATAGACAGATTTTTTGCTGTTTCGTGCCTTTATCCGACTAGATAGTAAAAGCTGGTATAATTATATAGTTTTACGTATTTAATAAACTTAGGGCTTGTCTGATCATATTTATAGATAGATAGATACACTTTATTATTTTCTCCAAAAGATAACAGTAGTAAATTTATTATATATACAAACAGTTACAAGAAATGTTCACATTGAGAAAACAATGGGCGCCGTTATCGCTAAAAGCGATCTCTTCCAAGCAACCTTTACAAGGAGAGGAGTAGTTATAAACAGTTGTTGTTATTTGTAATATACATTATAATTTTTTTAATATGTTTTATATAAAGATTATTAAGTCAATTTTGAACTTTTCGTATTAAAACTCGCCCACTACTTGCTTTTTGTTGTAGCAGGCTGTAAATTGTTGATACTTTTCGGTCGCTTGCGATAAAGTTCGTGTAGTATGAGGTCTATTGTATCTTGTATCCTACCAAGGAGAGGCTTTGTATAAAAGTCGTTTGCTTGGGCCCATTCGTGTTTCTAACGTGATACAGTCGTGTTTGCATGGTTGTGTTTTGGTTTGAACGGTGGAATATGGCAGTGAATTTACAGGGTATAGAGGAATAACACCTGAGTCCTCAGGAATGGCAACAATAAACTCTGTTATGTCCATGGTACTGTTCATGTCTATAGGCGACGGTTACCACTTTCCATCAGGTTGGACGTCAGCTTGTTTGCGATTCTAAGTTGCATAAAATAAATGTTGTGTTTTAATTTCTAACATTATATCTCTTTATTTAAATTAATATTAATGTAATTCTTGTTTCTGCCCCCAGGTGATAGACTTCGGTAGCTCGTGTTACGAGACCCAACGGGTGTACACGTACATCCAGTCGAGGTTCTACAGAGCGCCCGAGGTGATGATGGGCGCGAGGTACGGCATGCCCATCGACATGTGGTCCCTGGGCTGCATACTGGCGGAACTCCTCACAGGTGGGTACTTCACTTTCAGTCTATATTAATATTATTATAATGTTAAAAAGAGAGAAACCAAAAAACAAATGGTAAACAAATTTATCGATAAATATGTTTCCATTACCGCATGCAAAAAGGAACTAATCCCAGTTCATTAGCGCTCACAAGCAGTGATGATGGTACATATCAGAAATGGATTTGGAAATGATGTATTGAGAAATTTGTTATCGAATATCGAAGTACCATCGCAAGTTTTGTTTTTGTTGTGTTTTATTTATTTATTATTTATTTATTTATTCTTTCTTGCACAGTAAAATTTTGTACAAATGGTGACCTTAATGCCATATGGCATTCTCTACCAGCTAACCATTGGGTAAAAACAGAAAGCGTATGAAGGGCAGATATGGTGAAAAATATGTGTCAGTTATACATACATACATGATCGTATACATGATCATATATATGATTTTATACATGACCATATAATTGTAGTTACAGTGAATACTCTTACCTTAGAAAACAGATGAATATGAGCTGTATATTTACTTAATAGAGCCTGGTTGGCTGTGAGAGAATTGTAATCGCTTGAGAACCTTTCAACTTGACTAGATTTATCATTATTATCTGTTCACTACCGAATATATGCCTCCCACATATATTGCCATAAGAAACTGCCCCAAGCCACCTGTATCCATGCATAATGACTTTGTAGAATAGTATATTTAAACTGGCCATTTGTATAGTAATTTTTACATGTGACAGACAAATGGTTAGATAAAAATTACGATAATTATTGTTTTGGCCTCTATATTTTATATGTATAGCAACATCTTGTATTTATTAAATATTTCCAATGTACAGATATCGTCTTGTTAAAATTACAATTTATTATTTAATCTATTAAAAGAGGAAAGATTAAATTTTTTGTATGTTTGTTCGTAATAGATAAAAAAAAAGGATTTAAAAATTAAAAATAAATACTGAAATAGAAAGCTATATGATTAGCAAGTAACGTGTTAAATTTTTTTTTAAACCATGCGAATCCTGGATGTATCACTAGTTATTTATGTATATAAATAATAGATTCCTATTAATATTATAAATGCGAAAATTCTTGATGACGGATGGGTGTTTTTTACTCTTTTATGCAAAAACATGGATTTGAATTAAATTTGTTACACGGATAGGTTATATCCTAACTTAACATTTTAATTCTTAATAATGTGACCTCGTGACTGTTCCGGTTTCAGGGTTTCCGTTGCTTCCCGGGGAGGATGAAGCGGACCAGATGGCCTGTATCATCGAACTTCTAGGAATGCCACCACAGAAGCTCATCGAGCAGGGCAAGCGTTCCAAGAACTTCATCAGTAGTAAGGGCCTCCCGCGATATTGTACGGCCACTACTCTGCCAGACGGGAACACGGTACTTAGTGGAGGTAAGAGTATAAAATATTGTCATTTATTCCGAGTCGATATTTGACGACCTTAGTGGTCTTGCGGTATAAACACTGTCTCGTTGTCTTCTAATAGTCGCGGGTTCAATTCCCATATTCTATGGCAAATATTTTTATTCATGATTATAGGTGTTTATTTTTAAATGGATGATAATGGAATGGTAACCGCGTCTACGCTAATGGTATACACTGGCGGGGCATCAGTGAGCGATGATAGATGAGAATGAAAAGGCACGTCAGTTAGGCCATCGTGGTGAATACACTTGAGATTCAGCATGATGGTTTCCAGAAGGGACCACGTGTTGGTCGAGCTGGCAGGGTATATTCCTAGTAATGAGATTGGTAATCTGCATTACTAACAATCACTTCCTCCCTTAGTATAGGTTTTTTTTTTTATGGGTGAAAATGGTATGATAACCCCTGCGCTAACGGGATACGATGGCAGAGCACCAGTGAAGGGTGATAGATGAGAATGAAAACAGGCCAGTTAGCCCATCATGATAAATTCATCAGGAATTAACTATGATAGTTTCCAGGGAGAACCGCGAGGAGGTTGACCTGGTTGGGTATATTGCTAGCAATGGGATTCTCAGTCTCCATTACTGACAATCCCTTTCCCCCGTAGTATAGGTATTTTCTCTGTATAACATGTATGTATTTACAAAAAAAAGAAATGTCTATCAGTTGAATTTGTAATCCTAACTCTGTTACGTTTGTGTTTAGATTGCACTGTACAATAGGTCCAAGGGTATTTATTATTACTTATTGCACATCACAGGTACGACGAGAAAACCGATATTTTAAATAGGCTTTAGTATTAAACCTTCAAAGTTTTAAGGGTATTCGTAAATTGATTGAATAAAATTCAGCAGTATTGACGTCATCTGTCCCATACTTGATTGATTTACATTTTCAATTAAACGTAAAATATATATTTTTTGTTCAACTGGGAATGGTAAACAAGCTGACACCTCACTTGATTTAAAGAGGTAACCGACGCCTGTAGATACGAACAACACCATGGATATTATAGAATATATCTTAGTACTCATAGGCCGTATGGTTACGGCATAGAATAGGTCAACCCCCTCTTCCTTTCTCGTGGGGGTCGTAAGATGCGACTAAGGGAGGACAAGGGATAGGCAGCAGCGTCCCTCTTAAAACATCTTTAAAGCCTAACTGTGGTTGTCAATCGCCTTCCGAAACATGGCAAGTACTGGCAAAACCTCCCAAGGAGGTTTATATTCAGCAGTGGTTGGTTAAGAGCTGATATGATAACTCATAGTACTCTTCATACGTTGTTATTCGAATCAATATACTCGTATGTAATCAAAATATCTTATTTTTCCCCCTTCAAATTCCATACTATCAATAAACAAACGCCTTCTTAAAATCGAGAGCATCATCAACACTATGATGATAACTCTGGAAATAAACAGAGAACTGTTTATGAAATTACGCCACACTATCACCACATACTTTCTCCCAACGTCACCGATGCAGTATGCAAACATTCTGAATCACAAATACCACGCCAGACATCACTATGTTACGCATCTTCACGCTTTTCGTCACTAACGGTATAATAAGTCGATGACGTATGACTCAACGTGTTAATCAGGTTGTAATTTAAAGAAGTGAGTAGGTACGTTAGGAGCTGTCTACATAGAACAATTGCCCTTACACCTGCCGTCCCTAGACCATTGGTTAAACAAATCTAACAGTACTCGTAGATACACAAATCGAAGCGAGATAATGTTGTCCGGTGTCTTGTTCTTTCTCATGTGATTGCTAACGTAAACGTATGTATCGATGGATACTTTTATTGTTTGTCTATGCGCTGGAACATTTTGCACGGTACTGATTTAGAAATAGTTCAAGTATCTATTCATATTCTGTTGTGTTTATGTCTGTATATGTAAAGTTAATTAGATATCTAGTTATGCCCATAGAAATTGTAATATGTTATAATAATTAATCTCTGAACTTTTTTTTTTATCTACTAGTAGAGTCATGAGTTTGAGCCTGTTTGCTTTAGTTTTTTACGTCTTTAATATTCTTTAAAATTTCAAGATAAATCTTGAAGTTTATCTAATTTCGATCCCCGAAAAATATATAAAGATTATGAAAAATATTAAACAGCCTTGTGCATTTGTGATCGAATTCACAATTTAGTGAAGCCGCATTCCATAATATCGACTAATGGCTAAAACTTGAACTACATTTGAATATTTACTCATGTGGTAAATTAATCAACTTATTCAATTACGAACAAAATTTAGAACCCCATTAGCCTTCTACTTGCGAGTCTTTCATTCGTGAAACCGCAGAAGCTGCGAAACATTTGCTGATTAATTAGGTAGGCCACGTTCAAAACAGGTTCTCAGCTTTCGGGGGCGTTAATGCGGCAAGCACATGTAATCAACGTGCATGCATGCATTTCGCTGAATATGGATGAAGTAAACAAATCTCATTAGCATATAGATGGGAAGATTCTAGCCGCTTACACCGTTAGGATGCAATCTCGAGAGAATTTTGTGTAATCGTTATTTCACTTATCTTTATGTGAGATATTTCAGATATTAATTGTTTTTCCCTTTGAGAGAATATTTTCTTTTTTTCATAAATCTAAAAATAAATAATCATGCCAAGAATATTAAAAAAAGAAATAGTTAATATATTTTAAATCTTTAGATTTATAAAATAGATCTAGTAACAATAAAATTCTTCGTTATCTTTTGTTTCTTTTTCACTGGTCATTTATACGTACATAATTTAACGCCCAACGCTCATGCGTTGTCATTCCTGAGGACTAAGTTGTTATACATTCATACTGTATAACTTCACTATTATATCTTACCTTTCAAGTTGAAATTCAGCAGAAAAATACAGTTGGATTGAGAACCTTTCTCAAGCCGCTTTCAAATAATAAAACACAATTTCTGTTCTAAAAAATCATTCGTACGTACGTTTTTAACTTTAGTAACAAACAATAGTGCAATGCACTCTTGCAAAACTCTGATTACAGCTATTAAGTTTTAATGTAACAATAAATTTTGGCGCCACTTACGCCCGTTCGCTGTGAATGGGCCCTAAAGTCGATACTTTTGGTTGACTGCCAAATGTTAACGGTTCAGATAATACGATGTTGTTTGTCCGACTGTCTGGGTGTTGGGTTACCGCTTAGTTATTGCGCGAGACATTCAATCTAATCGCGCTGTGTTGATTTTTTTAACCCGATTTATTGCTTTTTTAATTCCACTATTTTTTAGCGTCGTATTACTTTTCTTGAATCATTCGATAACGTTTCGTAGCCAATAGGTTTCAGGTTGTTTATAGGACAAACGTGCAGTTTAGGCAAAAACTTAAATAAATAAATATATTATGTGTTTATACACAGAGATAAAGGTTTTTATAAGTTATGTACCTACATAACCTACTAATAAAAAAAGGGAAAAAGAGGGAGAGAAAGCAAGAGATACGGAAATATTATAAGTTCTAAATTTCATTGTCATATTTACGTGTGACTGGGATTAAAAGTAGACTTCTTCATTATAAATCCTATGTGTATACCAAATGTCATAACGATTATTAGAGTCGTTAGTCTAGTATCCATAGTACAAGCTCCCCTTAATTATTAACTTGTTAGTTTTGTATAATATGTACAGTGGTATTTGAAAAAAAAAAACTTCTTTCGAGTCAATAGGCAACCTAAATATATTTGGACAAGAACTTAGCAACTTCCATAGCACAGTTGGTTGGTTGGTTTGTTTAGGTCCTCCTTCGTGCAAGATGACGGTCACAAAGGACAGGACAGGAGGCAAGATATGGTCAACGATTGCATTTCACAGTTTCAAAACTCTCACAAAGAAACTCTTAGAATAATTATAGATGATTACTATTATTATATTGTGATTTTATCACTATAATATATTAATTTCAATTACAGGCATGTCGAGAAGAGGTAAACCACGCGGTCCACCAGGCTCCAAGAGTTTCGTCACAGCCCTGAAGGGATGTCAGGACAAGTTTTTCATTGATTTTATTAGAAGGTAAGATATTTTTTTTATGTCAATGATTTGATCAGTTGGAAAAGATTCTAAATTTAAATTCTGCATAAAATATGGTACAGTAAGATGATATGAGATTAGGTTTAACACATTTTACCGCTATAAAGTAGCATGCTGCATAAGCATGATCATTAACTTTCATTTGTATTTCTATCCGTATGTTTACCAGAGGGAGACTTTGTACAAAAGTCGATTGCTTGGGTACCTCTGTCCCATTCGTGTTTCAACCGTGAAGCAGCTGTGTTTGCATGACTGTGTTTCAGTTTGAAGGGTGGGATATGGCGTGAATTTACTGGGTACAGAGGAATAACACCTAAGTCCTCAGGAATGGCAACGCATGGGGGGTATCATGGGCGAAACAGTGTACTCTGCTATGTCCATGGTACTGCTCATGTCTATAGGCGACGGTTACCACTTTCCATCAGGTGAGTCGTCAGCTTGTTTGCCATTCTAAGTTGTATAAAAAAAGTACTAACAATAAATTTACTACAAATCCCTCCCCTCCCCCCTCTACTCGTAATGCACATTTGTGTTAACCGACCAACGTCCAACTCCACAGGTGCCTAGAATGGGACCCAGAGAAGCGATTGACGCCGATGACGGCACTCCGGCACGCGTGGCTCCGCCGCCGGCTGCCGCGCCCGCCGCACGACGAGGACGCACCGCCCGCCCTCAACCACAACCACAACCACAACCACGTTAGTATAGCGCACCACGTCAAACGCCTCGCCCAGACTAAGTGCACAGACAAATAGGTTTGTTTATACCGCTTCTTGTTTTCCTTTTCTAACGGTGGAGCTAGACTGGAGTGCGCGGAACGGGACATAAACGATCCTTTTTCTTTACAATATCACCGTTATTCACGTGAAGAAGTCGCCCTCTAGTGTTATAGTTTGTAGTTTCTTATCAATTATTTTTATATCTACCATTAGACTTTTTTTTTTAATAATTATAATCACTACACTCTATGTTACTATTTAAATCATTTTATACATGGCATTTAATAAAATATATTGCCATGTCTTTTTTTTTATCAAAATACTATACTTTATTCGTGTGAAAGTGGCGTCCTCAATTTTTAAGAGGTTTTAAGCCATATTTATTGTACTCGAAGATCTCTAAAGTATTATTAAATGTAACAAACGAATAAAATTATTCTCTTAGATTGGTCAGAAATTAAAGTTAAAAAATTAAATTTGGAAGAACAGAGATTCGCTCGTTCGGTCTGACTCCACCTTACGCAGATGCTTGTAACGTCTTAATTGTAAAGTGTTCGCAGGGCAAGGTCTAATAAATCAAATGAATAGCCATTAATTGCTGCGGCCGTGCCCGCAGTAATTGGAGCCAAAACAACTGTTTGTTTGTTTTGTTAGATTTTATCGTTGCGGACTTACTTAATTATAGTCATTTGAATTGGTCATTACACCAATTCTATTGAATATTAATTGACGTGACAAAATTTCAATAGAGCTGTAAAATAGTTTAACACATTTGATATATATATATATATATATATATATATATATATATATATATATATATATATATATATATATATATATATATATATATATATATATATATATATATATATATATATATATATATATATATATCTATCTAGTTTGAACTATATTGGCTTTTCATAATTTAGACGTTTTGGTTTTTCAAATATTTTTACTTGACCAATATATCATCTTATATATATATTCTTTTTTGTTATAATTATTAATTATGTAATTATAATAAGTTAATTTTGTAATCTTTTGGAGGAAACTATAAAGAGTATCTATCTATCTATGTTCAAAAACAAAAAACAAAGCAGAATTTGTTATAACAATATGTGCAATACATAATGGTATAAGGAATTCATATACACAAGGGACCATTATAATACTATTATTACTTACTGAGTTCATCATCCACCATGTGACATCCCTGGTGTTACAGGCTACGGTAATCCCGTTTACCATAAGTCGGGCCGTATGCTTGATTGTCACCATAGTAGTATAAAAATCTCTTTTCATGAATACTATAACGTTAAAATCTACAATTATCTATGTTAAAAACAACATTTACAAGCATCTGTCATATTTACTATAAGTTGCTCTATTTTTTTTAACACTAGCTTTGAAATATTATTTATTTCCATGTGCATTGTAAATAAATAGTATGACATGGCTGATTTGCAATTTTGTTCTAATTTTAATTTATTGCTAACATTATGTTACGCCTCTAAATAAAAAAGATTAAAAAAAAAAACATTATGTTACGCTTAAGATCATTATACTTTTAAATCGTAATTTTTTTTAGTCTACTGCAGGGTTTAGAAAGTTATTATCTGTTGAGAAGATCCCGCAAGAAACTCAACAGTTTAGAATAACGTTCTACATGTATAGCCCTTTCAGACCTGAACGATACGGGCGTGAGTTGTAACTTTGAAAAATTCTAAAACCGCGCGTAATTCATTTTTACGCACGAAGCTAAAATAACACGATAGTGAGATTCTAAACCAGCCAATAAGAAATCATTTTAGCGGTTAGGTGGTGCAGTAGTCTCGTGCGTGCCGGCAAGATGGATTGGCTCCAAAACACGAAAATATATTTAATCTGAAAGAAAAAAAATCTTGGATCTGAAAGGGATATAGCGGATCGTGTGTTCATATTGAAATTTAAATACATAAATTGTTTTTTTTTTTCTATTTATCTATCTTTTTTATATTTTATTATATTACAACAATATTATCCGTAATAATATTTTTCAATATGGCATACGAATCACTCAATGAAATTGTTTACACTATCCAACCATGAGATAGAATGGAACGGCAGCCGGCGTCTCGTTCTACTTCATGCGACCGCTAACCGAAACCTATTTGTAGATTAATTCGCCATTTATAGAGGGGTGGGTTTTTTAAGGTATGATAATGGGATGGGAATCTCGCCTACGTTAACAATATTCACTAGCGAGACACCAGTGAGGGACGATAAGTAAGAAGGCAAGGGCAGGTCAGCCCATCGTAATGAATACACCTGGAATTCAGCACGATGGTTTCCAGATGGATCATGGGGAGGTCGACCTGTTAGGGTGTATTTTTGATGGGACTTATAGTCCGCATTACTAACAATCCCTTCCTCCCCTAAAGGGGCAGGTTATCTCTGACTGTATGGCTACTATTGTTGATAATAAATTTTCGCTTCGAGATTAGTATATAAATTGGTAATAGCTCTAAATGAGGAATCTAAAATACAATACATTTGCCCAAATGGACAAAAAATAAATCAACTGTAACGAAGCCGGTTAAATGGCTGAACATACGAGTAGATGTCGCGTCATACGTTGTTAAAAAAATTATAATTTTATATTTAAGAAACACCTGTCACTATAAAAAAACATCAAATTTGCTTTACATCAGAACTACAAATTGTTACATAGAATAGCTAATATTTCCTAGAAAAATGTTATTGTACAAAATTAACATAAATATATGCATAATGATAAAAATCCAAAATAAACATATGCAAAGTTAGAATGATTATGGAACTTCTAGAAATTTTCATTTCTGAATTAATTAAAATTTGTGAATTATATTTTAAATGAAGTAAATATACGTTTAATAATTTTATTTTTGTGTTTTTAAAATATATTTTAGTTTTTTTTTTTTTAATTAATGTCATTGTAGATTTGTTAAATATTGAATTTTCTACAAATTTCTTGCCTTTTCTATTATTCTTTTTTTCATCTATCATATATTTGAATTGACATACTACAATATAAGCGTTAGTATCTCAATTAAACGCAAAATGTGTCCAAAGTACATTATTAGAACGTACAGGAAAATTTCGTTTTATTCTCATATTGATCTAATACAATTTTGTTCCCATGATTTTGTAAAAACAAACTTTTGTTCAAAAAAAATAATATAAAACTAAACTCGATTAATTTTTTTATTGTTTACAACATAATCTATCACTTGGACACATTTTGTATTTTTCTTAGTGAGGTTTCTACCTATCTAGCTAGTTTCTTTAAGTCTGCATTATGCTAGGCTCGATTCTGAGATGCTTTTCTCATCTCCTCCTATCCTATTCATAATTTTTTGGATTATAATTACATTAAACTGCATTGATAAAAATCTATTAAAAATTTAGTTCATATAGGTCCTAAGCTAAGATTTCGTTGCGTTATCAAACTGAAATTTTAATTTTTAAGATAAGCTTAGAAAAATTTGGCCTCAGAATCGACCCTATTACTCAATTAGCAAAACATTGAACTGGAGCGCTTTTTTGATCCAGTGCAGAGCGATTTTATGAGTTTTAACGCGCTCACATAGTGCTGGTGCATTAAATTGTATCATCTAATGGGCTGAGCAGACGATGGACAATGATGATATGTGTTTTATCTATGTCGATCGAACGTTGAATCGAATGAGATCGAATGCAATAATACTGATATATAATTAATCCGTTGTAAACCCTCAGGATACTAGCTATTACAAATACACAGGTGGAATGTTCACTCAGACGGCGGACGGTTTTATTCACTGTGCACATTTCATGCAACATCAAAAGTTTTTTTTTAATCAGTGATAATGGAATGGTAACCCCGCCCGCGTTATCGGTATACGCCGGCGGGGCACGAGTGGAAGTGAGGTGGGTGACGATGAAAGCAGGTCAGTTAGCCCATCGTGACGAATTCTACGAGAATTAACCACGATGGTTTCCAGAGGGAATCGCGTGGAGGTCGACCTGATAGGATGTATTGCTAGCTAGTATTGCTAGGGTTTAACTGACCTATATGTCAGTTAAACCCCATTACTAACAATCCCTTTCTCCACGCAATATGAAGAGTGTGCTCTGTTGTTCTGAATACACTACAGAATGCGTTACATTAAATATCACTTCGAGTGTCTTTACGATAATGGCTCCATGCAATAACTGAAAATGAATCATTTACTTAAAGAGCAAACAATACAGAGCAGATAGTGGTATCTGTTCGATGAACAAAAAATCTATCGTTTGCTCAGACGAGGGGCATTTTGTTTGTAGATAGTTTTCTTTACGTTTGCCTAATCTGTTAAGACTTTTAAATCCAACAAGAAAGCATGCAATTTTAGAAGTTGTATTAGAAAGATTCCTTATAGAACCTCTAAAATTGTATAACACTAAATATACACAATGTGCAATTATATGCATATTGTGTATATTTAATATTTTATTATTAATTTATTTTATTATTTATTAATATTATTAGTACGTTAGTACATGTACTTAGTAGAAGTACTTTATATACAGGGTAATTTTATTTTATTTTAGCTATCTATTTGTAACAGTTCGTATCCTAAGCATTAATTTTACAGCGGTTTACTCATGTAGTATTTTTTTTGTATTCAATTCTATTCGATCCAACGTTCGACCAACGCAGATAAAATCCATATCATCATTGTCCATCATCTGCTCAGTACCTTAAAAAATCTCTATCTTTATATACATACATTATAGTGATGATGGTGTTAGCACGTCCCTCGTGTTGGTTGCAGAGCAATGCGGGCGGGGCGGTAGCGGTGGCGGTGGCGGGGGCGGGGGCTGGGGCGGCGGCGGCGGCGGCGGCGGGCAGCGGAGGTCGCGGCGGTTCGCTGCGAACTCCCCTCGCCCGTACACCCGTCACCTTCAATGCCTCGCACGTCGCCAGTTAGTATCTTTCTTTATATATGAAAGGGAAATTGTACCCGTCGCCTATAAACATGACCATGGATATCACAGAATAACTCCATTGTGGTGCTCATCATATTCCTCATGCATTGCCATTTAAAAGACCTAGAGCAGTGGTTCCCAAATTTATTTTGGTTACTGCCCACTTTAAGAATAAATTATTTTTTAGCGCCTAATTTTTTCATCTACTTAAAAACCACTATTACTTCAAGATCAACAAATCACCCCCCAAGCCTCTACACAACGCCCCTATTTTTTTTATGGGTCTCTTATCGCCCCCCTTTAGACCTGTAGCGCCCACAAGGGGACGTTATCACCCACTTTGGGAAAGGCTGATCTAAAGGTTATGCTTTCACATTTTATAATAAATACCATGTTTCCTACATGGCAGTGAAATTACAAAATAAGGAATATTATAAATATATTACAAACACGTATTGTATATGTGTATTCAACAAACATACAGACATGAAAGCACAGCTGCATGGTGGCTGTAACTTGAGTAGAGAAGGTGTATCTAAGCAGATATACATATATACATATCTGTCACGCCTGTCTCCCATTAGGGTAGGCAGAAACAATGGAACGCCAAATGCTTCGATTCAAACAGATCTCTTTTGCTTCCTCCAAGCAGATGAGTAAAGAGATAAGAATATCTTCCATATATCCTTTGCAATGGATTTTATGGTCAGATTTACTAATGTAAGCTAAACGTTGCGTTGTTTCCAGAAGCGAAACTTCAAGCTGCCCTGTCGGAGGAGAGCGGGTCGTCGAGCGCGGCGGCGGGCGTGGCGGGCGTGGCGGGCGTGGCGGGCGGCGCGCGGTACTGGGCGGCCGCCAAGCTGCCGCACCTGCCCGCGCCCTCCTAGCGCCCGCCCTCCGCTCGCCGCCTCGCCAAGGTATGCACGCGGCCTGCACGCCTCGCTGCCATCGTGGCGGCTGTAGGCAGTTTACCTACTGCCTTGATTACCCACTCCTACTTTGCCAGAAGAAGTGTTACACTTGTGTTTTTCCGTAGATTTTTAAAGGGATGACAATAAAGTATAACTCTGTCAGTATTATTGGTTTATGCTGAACTGATAGTTTTTTTTTTTTTTGATGGGTGAAAATGGTGCCCCGCCTGTGCTAACGGGATACGCTGGCGCTCCAGTGAAGGGTGATAGGTGAGAATGAAAACGGACCAGTTAGCCCATCATGATGAATTTATCAGGAATTAACCATGATAGTTTCCAGGGGGAACCGCGAGGAGGTCGATTTGGTTGGGTATATTGCTAGCAATGGGATTCTCAGTCTCCATTACTAACAATCCCTTTCCCCCCGCTGAACAGGTAGTGAGACATTGTAGGTTACAATGAAGCCAGGGTCCGTTGATCCACTGTGATGATTTCACAAGGAATTAAACACGATGGTTTTCAAGGAGGCCGGGTGGATGTCGACCTGACAAGATGCATTGATACCACCGATGCCAATAATTCTATATTTTACATTAAGTGTGCTAGGAATTTACAAATAAGATAGCTGCGATATTAGATACTAGATTTTTCAAGAGTGGCAACTATATTCTATGTTCCATATTATGGGAGGAGGAACGAAACAATTTATTTGCAAAAGAATTTTTATACATTTATTTCATATTATGCAATATAAAATTAAGCTATCCAATTGTGTATGTGTGTATATGTATGTATGTATATATTTTGCATATATAAAAACCGATCAATTCTGTCATTACGCAAATGTGAAAACGAATCATGACTTAACACAGATATAAATTTGATTATCTATTGACTGTAATTCGACTGTACGTTTTCCAAAAAAATAAATAAATAAATTCTATTCCGATAGAATTTAAATAAGTTCTTGCTAAGAATTTACAGGTGTGTGGGTGGTGCCTTCAGCATTCATTCTCGTGAACGTATCTCGTAGCTGTAAAAGTCAAAAGATTAGAACAATCGATCGCTAGTTTCTCTGTACCACAGGTACAACAGTTTGAAATGGACAACAGAATAACATTAACACAGTATCTGTTCGGCAGGTGTCGTCCCTAGAAGCGCCGCGGCGGACGGGCGGCGCGGGTGGCGCCGGCTGCTGCGGCGGCGCGGGTGGCGCGGGTGGCGCGGGTGGCGCGGGTGGCGCGAGGCTGGAGCTGGAGCGGCGCAGCCTCGACCTGGAGCGCGAGCTGCGGCCCGACCGCGACTCGGACGGCTCGCTCGACGACCGTGACCACCTCGTCTGATGGCCGCCGCGGCCGCCGCGCCCGCCGCGCCCGCCGCGCTGCCGCGTCCTGGCCAGGCTGCGCTCCTGCCTCCGAAACCGATTCCGTTCACGCAAGCCCCTCGCGGGCGACCGCCCGCCCGACCCCCCTGTTCCTGTCCACCTGTAGGCGCGCGTGGCGAGGCGGCGGCGACCGGCGTCCAAACTAGTGCATAGAGGCAAAATTGATCTCAGTAATAAAATAAAGACTATGAATAAGTATAACGGACATCTAGTGGAATTGTGCGAGTAATAACGTGTTTTACTGTTTTCTATGTATTATACATGTAACGTAAACGTAAGGACGTACGATGTCGGATGTGTCGGTGTTAGTGCCTACTAAGTCTGGTTTAGAATTAGGAACCTCGACCACTATTAAGGGAACTCTTTGATCATTTTACCGAAACGACATGTAAGCTTCCGGGAGCTGAATTTTTTCGCTCGCGCTTCGTTGTAAAGCGTTCGATATTTAAATTCGTAGAATCTTGCAGCGTATTACACAAGATTTTAACTGAATTTTTTGTACGTCACGCCAAAAGTGGGAGGGCGGGCGCGCGCGCACTCGTTCACGTATGGAGTCGATATTTAATTATAGACCTTAAGTTGATGCTATAATGTTTAGAGTTTAACGATGCCAATGTTATAAGGTATGTTATCGGTGGACGAGTGTGCCGCGACGCCCGGTCACACGCGCCTCGGGCCTTACAAAGTCCCGAGTCGGTGTAGCGAAGAGCGATGACTTTTATTAAAAAAAAAAATAGAAAATTCCCTCTGGAAGCCGTAGATTAAGCGAAACTATTATTGTGTGTGACTAAATAACATAATAATTTTCTACAAATTCAGATTTGTTTTTTTTTTAATTAATTTGACTAAGTTCAATGTCGTGTTATTTTAATTTCTCAAGTGATATAGTACGTTGTATTAGTAATGAAATGGTGACCTTATAATCGGAATTATTAAAGGATATAAGGGTAGTTAGTTACAAGGCCTTCGCTATTTTTAAGAGCTAAGCTATGCTATTTTTGTTTCTGTGAGTATAGTATAGCATAGATGTTGTGGTGCCTCGTATATTTTGGTTGGTGGAATATCTTTTGTTGGTATACGCGCTTACCGTGTGTAGAGGCAATGTTAAGTACATACAAATACTGCCATACAATATGTTATATGGTGTTACATATTATTATTGTATTAATCATAACCGCAATTTATTTTACTATTTACATTTATTGTTCCTTAAATATGATTTATATTTTTTCATATTAATTATACGCGGACATATTGGAGCATTTGGAATGCTTCACCGTCGAGCACAACAGCAATAAGTTATAGAAAAGTGTTAAAACATTATCATATACTTAATAAAATGAGCATTTGTTATACAAATAATACATTCGAATATACAAAATGATTAATAAAACGGTGCAATATGTTTGGTAATATGATTTGGTCACTTATTTTGTCTTCCTGTATTACTTAAAGTTTTACTAAAGGCCTATTATGATATGTATATTCGACTAAAAGCATTTCTATTTTTAGTTTGTAGTGTTTTTTTTTTTTCTTTTCGATATACCATAGACAACAAAAGGTATTGTAATACTTTTTCTATGGAATATACATAATGTATGTGTTATAAATGTATTGAGGTTAACAAATGAAATGCACGTGTTGATTGAAAGACTAGTTACAGCTGCCACTTTTGTAAGCGGTGAACCCTCGTAAAACATACACAAACATTTGTAATTCATTATATTGTATTAATTAAAATCTATACACGCACAATTGACGATCAACAGAGCCCCCTTCTCATAATTTGTTGATAAACTATCTATCTTTACGACGGCTTGTTTACGGGATCGGTAGATTGTAAAAACCGAATGACAAAGGTCGTCTTTATATACATTTTTTGTTTCATCCAGTTTAAATCGTTACTCAGTATTTATTTTAGGCCCTCTTACTAGTAAAAATTTTAAAAAATGTCATAAATGATGGTTTAATCGCCATAAAATATTACATATGCTATTTTGATATTAAGGAAAAGTATAACATTCGCTTTTTAAAAAGAAAAGATAAATTTAAAATTTGACCTTTATAAAAAGTTCAAATGTCTAATAAATCTATTATAGCTATAAAAGAGTGTTGGTTTTCTTTTTCTTAAGTTCAATTATTAATTAAAACGAAAGTGGCAATGCTACCACTGTTTTTGTAATGACTGCCTACTCTCAAGTTTAAAGAGCAGCGTACTCCTTACTTTTTTAGTGACGAAATAGTTACCTAATTCAGGACATAGGTATACCTCCCCAGAGTAAGTCCTTATAAATAGTTAACTTTATCCCAACAGATGTTATAATATGGAACGTCTGAACACTATCTATCAGTATCAGGAACTTCATCAGATAGTTTATCAACGACTAGTTAAATATTTTCATTAATTATTATAAAAATTGTTATTATAAAAAATTGACATTTAATTATATTTATATATATATATTTCATCTCATCTATTCATCACAAAATACGTAAACGTTTTATGAGGGTTCCGTACCACAATTAATTTTATTCTTTGACAGTATCTCATACTCAAAGTAGCATTTTTATTTTGATAATCGTATTAAGTTGACTGTCGTGTATTATTGTGCTCAATAGTTTAATATTATGCAGTGGACTGCAGGCTTACCGCCGAACGGAGATGTATGGGTCGCTGGTCAAGGCAGTATAGACATAATGTCTGTGCCTCGATTATGTCGAACGATTATAATTACGTTTTCGCGGTAAATCTCCAGTAATCTCGTTTAGGTACTGACAAACTGCGATGACATTAGTTTATATTTTTTTTTTTTTGGGCTAAATGCATAATCATCAAAGTTTTGCACACGAATTTGAGTTTCGGAGCTCCCGCGACGCGAAACTTTGTTGAATACGCACAAGCCCTAATAGCGGTTTAAGATATTTAGTCAATTATTGTATAGCTTTTTTTTTAATTTTACATTGAGAACGTGAGGGCTGAGACAAGTCAATTCATCAGCCTTTGGATTCAAATTGTGATAGCTTATGCTTGTCAGGTTTACATCACCGTAATTAGTTGCTCATCGGCGCTGAACTTGGAGCAATGTCCTCACATAAGCTGTCTACTTGGCATTGATCAGTATTAATCATTTTTGTTCACGTCACCAATGCTCGCATCATGGTAACTGCCAAGTACATTTAGTTAAATTCTAAGTCTCATTTGCTATTACATTTACGTATAGCAGAAGCTCTAGTTATATTTATGGCTTTTGTTCGACCGCTGCATTTTTCTGAAACCTAGTTTTGTGAATATTGTGTTCTCATTATACATTAAAGCTGGTGTTTCACGTCTTGAAACCCGTAGCGACAATGTGAATACTATACAATTGAAATAAATGAATTATATAAATAAAATGTGTATTATTTATTTGATTTTTTTTTTATACAACTTAGAATGGCAAACAAGCTGACGGCCCACCTGAAGGAAAGTGGTAACCGTCGCCTATAGACATGAGCAGTATCATGGACATAACAGAGTATACTGTTTCGCCCATGATCCCTCCCATGCGTTGCCATTCCTGAAGACTCAGGTGTTATTCCTCTGTACCCAGTAAATTCACGGTAGAAACACGAATGGGACAGAGGTACCCAAGCAATCGACTTTTGTACGAAGTCTCCCTCCCACTATAATAATAATTATTATTATTTATTTGCAATAAATATGGCGGGACATAGGCTTGACAGATATATATGTATGTAAATGTTGTTAACAAAGATGAAAATGCAAATATATCCACTACACATTCGGCTAGTTTTGCCATGCAAAATTAAATTATACACCAAATAACGTCATTTAAATATAAATAGTGCTACGACATGCAAAATAACATAGTTGTATGTCAAAGTGAAAATTGTTATACTTGTCAGTTACATAGTATATCAAAATAGATTACGTAGATATTCAAGATAGAAGGTATCAAAAGAAAATAATAATATAATCAAGCATTTTCCCGTTATTTTGTGTACGTGACAGATGTCGGATATAAGAAAACCAATTAAAGAAACCACTTCTAGATAAAATATCAGATTTTAAGATCGATCTTCAGGGGCGACTGTGAGAGCCGCATCCAATCTGGTGGAGTAGTTTTTACGTGATACTAAAACAAACATACTAACAGACATAAAATTATCTTTAAATTATTGTTTTGGCTTCTATTGCTTTTATTAAAATCCCATATAGCAGATTTACATATATTGTAATAAAAGGTAACGAGTTAAAATTTTTTATATGTGTAGTCCAATCTAAGACAACAAAATATTGCCAAATTTCATTTATAAGTAGGAAAGGTCAATGCAGATTTCGTGTAAAATTTGCGACATAGAACTGCGAGCAAACAGCACCATTGACAATAGAGCCAATTTTGAGGCACTCTCTCTCTTTTTTTATGACTTAGAATGGCAAACAATTTGACGGCTTATTTGATGGAAGGGAGTAACCGTCGTCTATAGACATGAACAGCACCATGGACTATTAAACCCATAGTATCCCTAATTCGTTGTCATTCCTGAGGATTAAGGTGTTACGCCTCCGTGCCCTTAAATTTCATTGCCATATCCTGCCCTCTGAAACTGAAATACAGTTATGAAAGCGCAATTCATGGCACAAATACGATTAGGACAGAGGTATCTTTGCAGACGGCTTTTGCACAAATACTAAAGAAATTTATCACTGATTTTAAAATTTCAATTTGATATCTATATATAGAACATTCTAAGCAGCAATATGAACAAAATTTCTGTTCTACTTGCTGTGTCCACCAGACTCCATAATTAAACAGGTTTTAATATTTACCAACCATATTATGGAATACAAAAAACATTTTTATACACATAAGTCAAAATTATTATAAATTTATGAT